TTAAAAACAAGAAAATAATCTGTACTAAAGTTAGGAAATATCTGAATCTATCTTTCGCCAACTATCGTGTATCAATTAATAAACATTTAAAATATGGAGATTCATTTTGTTACTAGATTACAGGTCTTAACATTTTGATAGCTCATCGATGCCATTTAACAAAACGTAAGATATATTAAAATCAACAGCCTCGTTATTATAACCTATACATAATACTGGCTCCAACATAAAATAATTGTATGTATGTGTCATATTAGGCATACCCTGAACTAACAACAAATATCTTGGGAATGATCAGCTTTTCTGAAAGATCAATAAATCTCAAGCGTATCACTATTTTAGCTACAAATCCAAACGACCTCAAAATAAAACAAAAAACAAAAACAAAACAAAAAACAAACAAAAAAGATAACAAAAGCACAAAAATACACACAAAAACAACTAAAAACCACTCCCAAAAACAACAACAAAACGAAAGAAACCGGAAAGAAAGGAAACAGAACTTTTGTCTATGGACGGACAGATACCTTGATTCTAAATCTACTATGCAGATGTATGTTTCGGAACGTGATAGGTAGAATTGCTCTATGTATATGGTAGTGAGGATTAGAGGGTTCCTAACACATTAAACGTATTTAAATAAGAGAGGGACAGATGAACAGATGTCGACTCCCGGCTTGTAGCCAGACTGGACCCAGAACGCGACCATTTGTATCCCCTTACGAGAGCATCTTGCGAGAACCTCTGGCATGTCAACCCCTGATCACTTCAATACAAATTACGCATCAATATTGTAATATGATACCGCAGTGGCGCAGGGATATGCGTCATGGAAACTATAGTCCCTGCCCGGAGGGTCGTTTTGACATGTTTAAACCCTATTTAATTTTCACCAATTTTGTTCAATTTGGCATAACTTTCTAATTCTGGCAGTTTCCTTGTTATCTTTCTAGTATAAAGGTAATCACAGAGGTCCAAGTATATTGCTGTCATGTGACTGACAGGCCCGAGGTGAAATCAACATGGATATCACACACATCATCAATAGTAACAGTGGGAACGGACTCGACGTAAACGATCATCAATGGGTCCTCACTAAACTTAAATCAGATAGGCGGATCAATGGATACGGGCAAGTGAGAGTCCGTTATTTCTAACGTTTCCGCCTCTGAATTTAGACAATTCTTGTCACATGGTATTGGTAAGCATGACGGATAATTATAGGTTGGCGCGCGTCTGAATTTAACGTCCTTCTGTCGTCTGCGTATGACCGCGAGCTGGTTTTCTATAACAAAATGCACAATTTAAATATTTTTCAATTGGATCTGCCACAGTAACGTTTATTTGACAATTTTCGTTTAATACAATACAATTTAGAAACACAAACAGAAACAATCCTTTAGTTGATGCTTATCTGACGGCATCAGTTTACAACAGAAAAATCCCGCACGCACCGGTCTCCATTTTCTATCTTGAAAGACGGGAACGCCTAAATTACGGACTATGGAGAAAGGAAAGAGGGAAGACGAAGAGTTTTCTATTGTGAAGAAAAGTCTCCGATCTTATCTGTCATTCCCAGACTGAGTCAAGGAGGATAGTATTCAGGATACGACATCGAGGGGAAATTGTCATTGCTTCGACACCAAAGGAAGAAAATCGTATTTCAGCAGTTATGTAAAAAATTGCGAATGTGTTAATAATATTTATTACAAAAAGTATATGTTAAATACTTTAACAAGTGATTTTGGAAGTGTTGATTCAATCGTTATTCCAGGTTTAAGCGAAATGAATAAATGTAAAACACAACTTTATAAATTATTCCATTATCCCTAATTACAATGTTGACTGCAAGCCTTTGGATCGATTTAAGCATATCTAAGTTGTTAACGACAGCAAAAGGAAACGTGCACGTGGTTAGCACAATTTAGAAACACTTTCTCCAACGTTTTATTAATGAAAGTAATATTTATTGTGTCATAATGATTTAGTATCCGTAAACGTGACACTGAACAATTTCAAACATTCGACGATTACATTTTCTGTCAGAAAATTAACAACATTCCTTAAAGAGACTCCGTGGTTAGATTTTGTTCCTTTATCCATATCACTTATAGTCTTGTTTGACATCTGTGGTCAAAAGACTCATGCAGGTGTCTCTTAATGTTCTCAAACTGGTTTAAGGAAAAACACAACATGAAAAAAAAACAATAAACATTAATTGTACGAAATTTAGGTAAAGGTGGTGAACTATTTACATCGTCTTATGATTGTTTATTTAGCAATTGCAAGAAGTTTTTAGAATGTGTATTTCAATCTTCAGTTGTAATGCTGTTATGTGCGTAATTCAGTTTTTGTTGTAGTCAACATGTAAATTTCTTTTTTGTTCCAAATTATTTCATAACTTGATGTCGCAAGATGAAAGAATGTCACAGTTTGTCGGAATAATTGTCAATGCATAATAGCCTTGGCGTTTGTGTTTCTAAAAGAAATCCGAGATCTCGGACGACCCTGTGCTAACGTCGCTGTGCTCTCGAGCAGGAAACTTTACCTGATATCGCTTTAGATTGCATGCCGCCTACCACCCGCATGTTGTTCAAGGAAATGGTCACTAGCTACTAAGTGATAAACTCGGTATCAACAAACTAAATTATTTACTTTCTTTTCTATGACATCTCGTGACAACAGTCATCGTGTGATCAAAAACTTCTGAACCCAACTTCATTTGTTACCTCAGTGCTAAATTTAACCAAAAAATAAAGAAAGTGTATCGGTTTTTAATAGAAACCTCTATGCTGCATTTCCATTTACAAACAAGTTTTGCAAAAATCTAGTTATGAGTCATTTCTGGTAGAAGGCGTACGTTATAGCGCTCATTCTGTAATATTTCTGCATATGTGATGAGTAAACATTAAGAATAAATAAGTAAATAAATAATAAGCACAGTAGAAAACAATTAGATAATGTAATACGCATTTTGAAGGAATCCGGCTGTAGATATTGAGGTAGTTGAATTCATATCTTTGTAAAAGAAATTTATTGGCGAGAGTCCTGGTATAAGACTTATGTAATTTTTCAAAGGACGTTTTGATGATTCTGTGAAATTGTTATCGATAGGAAATCAATAATAAATAATAAGCACAGTAGAAAACAATTAGATAATGTAATACGCATTTTGAAGGAATCCGGCTGCAGATAGTGAGGTAGTTGAATTCATATCTTTGTAAAAGAAATTTATTGCTGAGAGTCCTGGTATAAGACTTATGTAATTTTTCAGAGGACGTTTTGATGATTCTGTGAAATTGTTATCGATAGGAAATCAATAATTCGTGAAAAATATCTGAATGGAAAAAGTCAGTGTTTTAGAAAATATATGCCCCTGTTCACAGTTCCAGCACCGTCCCCCAGACACCTGATTCCACTGGCACTTCTGTAACAATCAGGATATCAAACAATGTCAGTTTTTTTAAGTCCTTCGTGCTTCAACTGTAACTTTCCCTCGAATGAGATCGGCTGCTTTTTCAGCGATCATAAATGTAGGAGCCATAGTGTTACCGGAAGTTAGATTGGGCATGACGGAACAATCGGCAACCCTCAAACCGGAAATGCCTTTCACTCTGAAGGAAAACAATAAAAAATAAATATTACTAGATACAAGTTTCCGCAATGTGAATTACGTGTTTGTTAAATAAAAGTATGCACATGCACTGATCGTAGACATGTCTAAGAAGATCGAGTTCATTTCCAAAGCTTAGCGTATGCTTACATGCTTATAAAAACACAATTTCCAGAGTGCCATGATCCTCCAAACCCATGTGTTATGTAGCTGACATGGAATATATCATATTGTTACACGATAAAATACTGTTTACATCTGTATGTTTCTATAGGTTAGTTTTTTTTTAGAATAATGCTATATTTCACTATTTCTAAAGATAGAATAGGAATATAGATGTTTTAAGAATAAACCCATATACTGGATTATGACTTCCGTAAAAATCTTGTCTACTTCAAGTTTTCCAATGCCAAAATTCAACTGTGTCCTTGTCCGGTCAGGTGTGCCCCATGGCTCTATTGCTGGCCGCATAATGTTTTTATTTTATATTTATAATTTGCCAATCGGCAAGAACTCAACCATTCGCTCTTTGATGATGACATCATTGCATACTTTGCAATCAAAGCAACGAATTACTTCAAAAATAAACTTGGCTGTTGAGAAAAGGTTTTGAAAATGTCCTTCCATCAAGACGAATGCAAAATTCTCACCATCTGTCGCAAAAAAACCCCACTAAACATGATTACATACTGTATGGTCTATTACAGCGTGTTGACAGGGCATACTATCTTGGTATATACCATTCAGTCTGATCTAAAATGGCACAAACATGGGAATTACACGCTATAAAACTATTGGTACTCTGAGATTAACACATATCAATATTAACTCTTTCTTCACTAAGATAATTAAAATCTCCCACCAAACACCGTGGAGAATGACTCATTAGAATAATTCAATACATACTACACCCACGCAAACACACAACACACAAGTCCGTGCTATAATCATCATGTTAAAATAGGACACTCACCAGGTAGAAGTTTCCGATCTTCTGCAGACTCAACATTGATTCGGCGCAACTTGAGACAATAATTTGAGAACTACTCCAGTTCGTCTCAAGAAAAAACATTACAAACTTCCCTTGTCAAATTTCAAGATGGCCGCCTCTTGGCCATTTTGTCTTGCTGATCAGCCTCAAAAAGTAAATGGACACAACTCGGGACAGAGGGAAACGAATAAGGTGAAAGTTGAGAAATATTTATATTCTTTCTCAAGAAACAAGAATTGATTACGGACGTCAATCGGTGACCGAATTTGAAAACCTCACCATCTGATGATTGTCGGCTAAACATTACAGTAACCTATCCCGATCTTTGATGAAAAATGCATACCTCGAAACCATCAATCACCTCTTACCCCTAATCCAGTTACAGAAAACCTGAAATCACCTGAGTTGGGGATCCACTACCGCTGTTGGATCAGAGATAGCTCCCATTTTACAGGTAGACGTAGGATGGTATATTGTTGTCGCTAGATGACGTACTAAACACTCCCACTGTTCGTCAGAGTCCAAGGCCTTCTCTCTACATCCGGGTATGTCAAGTTCACGAAATTTCGTTCCGAGTGCTTTTAAGGCATCCGTTTTCATCATTTGTTGAGCGTAGCGAATACCTAACAAAATAATAAACAGAAAATAATACAAAGTAGAGTCTATTTTGCACTCTGGTGCTTTTGTTTGATTTAAGTTTTGATGTCCTCGAGATCTTCGCCATGGCAATTTCTTCCTGAAAAAATTGATATTCTTTGAGTTCAAAACGAGGCTGTGACTTCGATGTCTTCGGAAATCTAACCTGAACCGTCTAACGTTGAATAAAAGTTTAATTTCCCTCGAGATCGACACTTCGCCTTGTCTCACTTTGATAAAAATTGGATGTCTTTGGGAAAGAAACTTCGCGGTAAAGGCTTACCTCTGATAAACGTTTTGACATCCTCGGGATCGGACAAGTAGTTAGGATCCAGCAGTGGGTAATCAAATGGATCGCGACTGATCAAACGCAGTGACCCTTTGCTTTTTGGCTGAATCAGAACCACATCGATAGAGTACCCTTCCGGCATCACTTCCGTCCCGTGTATAGACCGAAACAACGCTTCGTTGATCTAGAAAGAGAAGAGAAATAGTTCGATGTTTACAGAGAACGGCCCCTTCATGTGTTGGACTTATGGTTGTGAATCTAGCGAAATAAGCTTTGAAATTATTTAGCCTGCTTAAGAGCAATTTATGTTTGATCGCCTCCAATATCATCTTGGACTTATTTTGATAGTTCGTTTTCTTACTGTAAACTTCAGTGTTATAAAATAGTCTGCCCTTACATCGTCCCTGTAGTTGAAGTGGTCGAAAGAGTCGCCATGTTCCTCCAACGTGCTGAACAATGTCAGTTGAATATCGGGAGCTTTTTCTTTGCTATTCGGGTCCGTCCTCACAAACGCCTGACTTTCGATAGCCGCATTATTTGTCAACAAACCTGAGGATATATATTTATTTATAACCTTACGCCAACTGTAACCGTGGTAGCTTTTTCTGACATGTATTCAGTAACTTTCGACTTGAATGATGATGATGTGCCCTTGGCTTAGAAATTTATTAGCACACTATACGGAAAAACGCAAACACTCACGTGTCTTTGAGTTATAAATCATATTTATACAGTGTATTTTCAAATATTTCTTTCTAGACGAACCATTGTTGAATGGCAGACCATGAACATACTGTGTACCGGTGGAAGGGGTTCCTTTCGATCACGATAAACGCATAAACCGATACAGATTATAAAAGAAAAAACATATGATGTCACGACTTCCATCAAAATACACTCTTCCGACTTCAATTTTTTCGTAAAATCGCAAAAATTAGACTGATAAAAACTTCACGGTAACACATGATTACTTGTTGTAAGATCCTTTAAGTAAAGCTGTGGTGATGCTTGTTTGTAATGTCATTGATAAGTATTGAAGCATCATTATATTAACTTAGACACGATATTTACCGACGAATCGATATAACAATTGCACTTTAGTATCCACAGTACGCAGTGCGCGGCGTTAATGATTCCAATAATATGTTTCCATTTCTTAGAAAATTCGACTTCACAAAATTCTGACTTAACACAACTGACATCGACCTACCTGTGCCAAATAAGTAGTACTTTAGCCAGTTCATCGGTGTGAACACTTTGGCGGAAGTGTAACTCATCGGCTTATCGATGTCGGCTTTGACGAAGAACATCATGTGATCCCTCAGCGTGGATCCGACCGGCAAGTCTGCGACAACGGGCACCTGTTAATCAGAACAAAGAACCCAGTTTTAAGTTCTGTTTATTGTCTCTGACTGATATTTCTAAAACGGACTACATATTTCAACCCCATCTAATTTGGGCCGAAATGCATTTCGATCAATAGGTCACCCACGGCATAGCCTAATTTTTAGTGATCATCACTGGTTAGCGAAACGTCACGCACTGCAATCGGGTCACGTGTCTCTCGATATGCATCGTGTAGTTCAACAGAAATACTGACGAATATTAACTTCAGGTCGCTTTTGATAATATGTACGGAGTTGTGACCCATTGTTGTATTATCAAGGTTTACCCGAACTAAGGTTTGCTCGCAATATTTAACGTTTTTGGAAGAGGGATAATTTTGTTACAATCTAAAGTTAGTATCTCGAAGAAGTCTGGTGATGTTTTTTTTGTCCAACTAATGACAGCATCAGTAAACTTGCCCCTAACTCGGTCAGGTGATCTTTTGGCCCCACTCCCGATAACATCAGTAACTGTGCAGACCCAACTGTTCCCGCAGTGAGTACTACTTCCCGTTTGGCCGCCACCGACTTCTTCTTTCCCTGATGGATAAACTCCACACCGACTGCTTTCTGGTTTTCAATCAAGACCTGTAATGTACTTAAAGAATTGAAATGAAAAGGAACTAGTATGAAATATATACATACATCAATGTGTCAATATGTAACAATTGCGAAACAAGTTACACTTTTGTCGGTCGGAATGGAAAGTGCACGAGATGTTTTACTGTGAGAAAAAAAAACTGGAGTGAAATGTAAGTGAATTACCACAGAGCGAAAATAAAATTTGATTTCAAGTAAATGTCTTTAATCACTATAAATTATTTCTAACACATGATTAAGATTAAACAGC